CTGAGAAAAACAGGTGGAACAATTTTATAAACCTTACTCCTCTAAAATTATCATTTTATCATCATAGAACCTTAAATGCACTCCTGTTCGACGTATAATTAAAAAGTTTCGACAACGTATCGTCGAACAGGTGCGCAGATGAACTCAAGTAAAGGACATTGAGCATGCGGGGGAGGTTCGAAAGAAGCGCGGGAGTACTGAAACTTGGCTGTTTAACGTAGGCCTACGTGGTGTTCCGCAGCGGGGGCAAGGAGGAGTCGAAGCACTCCGGGGCTACCGGGAAATTTCTGGGTAAAAGCAGCCGGCCGACGGGCACTAGCAACCAGACGAACTCGATATCCCTACAACAGGGGAACTTCACAGACGAGAGCGATGGGGCCACGGTAAGGCCACTTTTACCTAATCCAAAACTCCCGTCCTCGTTTTTCACCGCACGGGCACCACCGATGTTTGCAGCTTCGCGTGCGAGTGAAACGAGTTTCCCCTCGTTTTCCACCCTTTGATCTCTCCTGGCCGCGGACCTAAGTAGGTATTCGTTCGAGAACTCTGCTGGAACTTGGAACTAGAGTTAACGAGATTATTTTCGATTACTTCGCATTACCGTTAATAACGGAGTACGAACCATCGCAGCGGTGTTTTTCAACTACTAATTCGTCCTGAATAACCAAATGCACTTTTAACGTCAAGCTCGCGTGATCCCGTGGCCCATTTATCCGAATGCACTATAAATTATATGGAGGGACCATTTCCCCACGTAAACGCGAAGCCCCTCGGAGAAGGACAGGTCGACGAATAGTGGAACTTGACAGAGGACGAGCGCATTAATTAATATCAGAGCTTTTTAGCCTCATCGAATAATGAACATTTTCGTAATTATATATATTCATCGGATCGCGTATAATCGATTGGAACGGTGCGTAACCTGACAGTCATTTATAATTCTCGAGCCGTTAATTCCGATCCATAATTGAACGCAATCAACGGCTTCTAAATCTACAATGAATTAACGTCACTCAATCCACGATGTAAACCCGGAACGCAGAACTCCCGTGGAAATTTTCATTTCAGTCTCTGAGTATTTCCAAGTACCAAAGGCTTGGTTTTGTCAAAACGTATTCTGTAGTATCGCGGACGATGTTGAAAATAACAGACTCGATTTCCGCGATGCTCGTAAAGGGCGACGTTATAGAAAATCCGCTTAGCAAGCAGATCCTCCTAATGAAGTTTCCCGAAAGGTGGATAAAGAGGCTAATGAAAGCTATAGTGGTAAATCCCAGACTAATACCCCATAAGCTTATTAAGAACTGTATTCAACGGCGTTCTTCTCGTCCGGTTTGATAAAGAAAAAACTGACCGAATACCTGGAGGAGCGAGTAAGAAATCGGAACTGGAAGTTCCGATCAGGTGCCACGGGGAAAAACGCTGATCGACCGGCTCCGGTTTCACAGGAGCCGTGGGTGGGAGATTGTACCGTTCGACAAAAGGCAGTGAGTGAAAGAGGCTGTTCACTGCGGAGAAACGTCATCCACGGGAGCTTTTAGGAGCGGGCATGATTGCCGGGACGTTGGGGAAAAGCGGGGAAAATTGCGTCGACCTGGACTGGAAGACACCATCGGTGAAACGCTGCGTCGGTGAAAGGGAATGGCGCTCTTTGACATTCGACTATACTGATTATAGTGCGAGTGTTCGACGCGATTTGCCCTTGTCACGCGCCGTGTGTCACGTGTTGTGAAACAGCAGCAGGGCGCAGATAAAAAGAATACTAAAAGAAAGAACGCTCTTTGATTCCTTGTTATAGAAAATTTATTAGCAGTCTTTCTTCGTCCGGAATTAATTATTGATTAAATTAATAATGTGTGACTAAAAGAATCGATCAGGCTACGTTTTTGTATCGAGCCATGCTTTATGTCGGTCGCACAGTAAAGGGAAATATCGACTAACTGCTTCGCCAATGTTAATAATTAATTAACTATTAAAATTGTATATTGCAAAAGCTTTACCTTCGTACTAGCGAAAAATGTTTTAAATAAAAATTGTAGATGTAGTCGTCAGCTATAAATTAGGTCCTATGCAATTTCCTTCTAATTCATTAACACTAGATTGCCCAAGGAAGTAATTTTGACTGGTTTTGGGCAAATATACAAATAATAATGCATAAATTATTTTTTTTCCCAAGTGAAGTAAATTTTTTTTATTGTTAACATTTACTAATAACTTGTTATATGACTGTAAATAATATAAAAAATATTAAAAATTAATTTTAGACAAATTTCTTTACACATTATTCTTTCACAATGCAGTCATTTTGACTGTTTTTATTAAGTTTCAGTCTTTCTAGTGTTAAGGAATAATTAATTATCGATTAGAGATTCTTGAGATATTCAGAACAGAAGAAAATTGTATACGTCCTTCTTTACGAGATAACTCGTCTGTGGCATCGTGCGACAGATATCATGTCGCGAGATATCTCGCACGTGGTCCCGAAGCGGTTAATCCTCATCGAACCGTCAAGCCCCATTGTCGGGAAAGCCGATTAATAGGCCACCATATTGCATTAATTACCGTATACACATTAGAAAATCCGATTTAGCACGCTACTGAATCTGACCTAATGTCCTCCACACATGTCCTGCATACCTCGCTACAACTACGTCACATGCAATATTCCCTATAATTTCTCTAGTAATACTTTTTATAATTAAATATCTTTAGACAGCGTCTGAATGTTCCAGGAGGAGTTCCGTCGGTTGATCAACCAACTCGAAGTTCTGAAAGAGAAGAACGTTCTCTTAGGTAATCACCACTTGGTTAACAAGCTAGCTGCGATGCAAGAAGCCGCGCATCGCTCCGAAGCTCAAGTATCGACCATCCAAGCGATCTCTTCTAGTATGAGACTGAACGATCTCAATGGGTCCACGACCATCGCTGAGACAGACGTGGGTGGTTCGTTCAAAAGCGACGAGAAAAGAGGTTCACTGAATTTTATATTTAACGTCCTCCTGAATTTCCCCATCCGATGCACCTCGTCCTGATTTACCAAGCCTGATCAAACCATCGAGTTACTTATAAGGGGAATGTGTAAAGGTTTTTGTTTCGAAACGTTTGCGCAGGTGGCGAGGAGAAACGGTGCCAGGCGTGCGTGGAGACGAACGGGATCAAGGGAAAGGATCATCAGGGGCCCTCGAAGGAAGCCGAGGTCCTCGTATCCGTGGAGACGAAGAGATCGACGAGGACCAACGACGTGGCGGTCTCGACTTCCGGTAGGCCGGTTACCACCGAGGACATTGGGACGGAAACCAAGCATGAAGACAAAGATAGTGAGGTTCGGGAGAAGAGCAAGAGCAAATCGGGCCATGCGAGGACGCACGCTATAGTAATCAATTTGGACGACAAAACCAGGTTCTCGGAGGAAGTCACCGTTTAAAAATGAACGCCGATTGGTGAGAACTCCGCGAGTCACTCGAACGTGTACTGTGGTAAGTGAAATAAAAGTGATTCGGTGGTGGGTATCTTAGGTTCTTGGTGACGCTGGTGGTGGTGGTGGTGGTGGTGGTGGTGTTGGTGCCTGTATGATTTTATTGTTTCTTCTTTCAATCCGTGAAACACGGGCAATTTTTATTCGTCGCAGGCACGCGAGTTTCCAATTAAACGTCGAAACTGTGTTCCCTTCGGAAATCGGGCGTTTAAACATTGTTGAATTATTGAAAATAATAGTACAAACATAAATTGAAGTTTCTGGGTTAACTCGATTTCTCCCGTTGGTTCTCGACGGGAATCCTCTAACGCAATCGCGACAGCAATTTTTCTTACCCTTTTTTTTCCTCGCCTTGTTTCCCAGAAGTTTCGAAGGGAACTTCCTTTCGGCGATTGTGTTTGTAACTTGCGAACAAGGACATACTAATCGTGCACTCCTCGTCCTCGTTCATTGAATTTGTTCTCATCGGTGTAACCTTCCCTCTTCCCTTTTAGTTTTTTAATTGTTCACGTCAGGCGAGAAAACTGGAATTTCTCTCCTTTCCTGTCATGATCCTTTTTACGACAGTTCCTAATCGCCCTTTCCGAACTTACCTTGGAAATTCGACTTGTTCTCATTCAAGTTCTCGTTTCAATTCGTTTCCTATTTGAAAAGATATCGAGAGCGTCGTGTAAATAAACGTTGTGAGTTAATAAAAGTTTCGGTGGTTTTAGTCTAAGGAAATTTGTGATATTGTGACGAGTCACTGGGAACGAGAACTGATATTAATTAGCACGCACTAAGAGTTAGTCGAGAACGAATAGTAAGAAGCGTCATGGAAATATGAATTCCACGTGTGTTCCCGAACTTTTAGCAAAGAAAGGAGGAGATCCTTTCAACGGAGTTCCCAGACACGACTTTGCTTTCCATTTGAAGAAAAAAAAAAGAAAGAAGAAACCGCGAGAATTGATCTCGCGAAACTGTAAATGGTGATCCTCGGGTATTTGAAAGAATTCTCAGTTTTAAAGTAGAATATTTCTAAGAGCAAAGCATGCGTGTGAGGAAATGTGTTTGAACGTCGGTCCCAGGTAGAACGAGAAAGTCTGCAGGTTTTCACAACTTCTGGCTGATATCTGATAAAGAAAATTTCATTGACTAAATAGATTTCATAAAAGTGCACCATGATGTAAGTGCACGCAGCGAGTTCGCGTTGCTTTTACAATTTCCTCGCTTTGATCATTGACCGGTAGTTTTTTTTTTTCCCCCAACCTGACAGCTGTTCCCAATTGAAAGTGAGTGCGTCGGTCGGGCTGTTATTTATTTACCAAACAGGCAGGCTTCTATCTGGGACACGTGTCAGCTGGTGGAGTGTCGACGCGATGCGCAACGTGATCAATCGAACCTCGCGAACAAGCTTTCTGTAAATATCGTCGTATAGCCGCTTTATCCAAAGTCTTCTGCCATACGATTAAAGGTTCATTTATACCATCGACGAGCCACGAACGAGTCGGTTAGAACGAAGAGCACCGTCTCATTAATACTGAATATTAATTAATATTACATACGCAAAGTTATGTACTCGTATTTCCGAGAACGAGTATTACCAATTATAAACTTCATTGGGAACTTGTTTTACTTGAAAACCGAGTTTTAAATTCGCGAGTTTGATTACTCGGGAATTTTTAAAGAACCCCAGTCCTCGCCTGGCGTTCGGAGTATCGCAAAAACTCAGCGAATAAATAAAAATAATTCTAAAATATTCTGAATCCGTGGCTTCGTTCTGGTCGACTCATTCACAGCTCCCTTAAAGTCGATCTGTAAATAAACGCGCGAAGGCCGATTAAAAATGGAAAAACTAGTTACTAGACCAGCGTGAACGGAAAATTGTTCACCGTTTCATCGAAAAACGGAGGTCCGACCCTCCAATTTCTCTCTTTCAACTTTCCCTCATATCAGGTTGTAAATAAGTCTTGTAAATATGCACGAGCTGAGGCGAGTTTGACGTTAGATCGGGCGAACGCGATCGCAGTTGAAATTGTTACTAGATCGTGCGTCGTAGTAGCCGCGTATCATGGTCGTTAGCCCGTAATCACACGACGATGTATGTTACATTTATCATCGCGTCCCTCGCGTGTGCCTGGATCGGTGATTTACCGATCCGAAGTCAGACAAGCAAAATTAGATTATGTAAACAGAAATTCATTACCGGACTTTCATTTGAACTTACGATAAGATTAGAATAATTATTATTAGTGGAGGCATGATTCCGCGTTCAAACAGTAATTCGCTTCGTGAATTATAGGGGAATGTCAAGCATCGGCTCGGATAACAGTAATTTAATTGATACCGGTATCTTCGCACGATGCATTAAGGTTGTATGAACCCATAAATAAAATAAATGACTTTGTCATTTAAATTTTTACTGTTGCTAAATATTATA